AAAGAATTGCTTCAATAAGGGTTAGTAAGATACTCATCTCTTCTACCGTAAGAACTGTGGCGCCCGCTACCCGTTTAAAGTGATGTTTAAATGACTTCCGCCGATTCCCAAATTCCTCCAACGTATGGAGAATTCGGAGAAATAAACTTCCATGTAACCCCTTCGTCGGCCAAGTTGCTAACAACTCGTTTTTGAAAATCCGTTGATTCAAATAACCCTTTGAGCTCTCGGAGCTCTCGATATCCAGAACCATTGTCTGAATACATATGTGCAACTTTGCCGCATCGTGCCATCATACGTTTTAACACATTTAAAAAACATTGAGACGAATAGTCGCGTACAAGTTCTAGATGTACCGCTTTCGTAGTCAACAGTAGACAGACGAATACGGCGATATAGGTTTTGACGTTTCGTTTGCCTCGCCCCGGACTTTCTTTAATTAATATTGGCCTACAATAATCGATGCCGCAGTTCTGAAAGGGCCTAGCAGGAGATACTCTGTCGGCTGGCAAATCACCCATTAATTGTTCATAACTAATGGATTTTACTCTTTGACACTTAATGCAATTATGCGCAATTTTTCTTACAATAATTCTGCCAGAAAGTGGCCAAAACAACTGCCTCACGGCAGCCAACGTTGCCTGAGGTCCACCATGGAGGGTATCCCTATGTGTGTCGCGCATTATTAGCTTTATAATTATGTGGGTTTTTGGTAGTACATACTTACCACTTGATATTTGGTCTTAAAATCTTCTTGGATTTAATAAAAGGAATGATACGAATTTCGAACGCGTCCGGTGAATTGATATGTGAATGATACACGTTGACACAGGTAGGATGGCTGATAAAAGGAACAACGGACTGTCGTTACAGATTAGAGATGTTTATTTCCCGAAAGCTACAGGTAGACTCCTCGTTTAAGGCGGATGGTGGCCAGACTTCTCGTTGAGGGTGGGGAGAATAAAAAAACACGTACCCCCAGTACTGACTCTCAACATAACCCCCCACGTTGACACAAGAAGTTGTTTCGAAATATTACATTTATGTACATATACACACAATAAGAACAGATTGGAGAGAATTAATTACACATATATCCAAAAGAAAAAAAAAAAGAGTGATGTCCATGAGATCTGCTAGGGGTTTGCGAATTTTCAATCCGCGACCGTGAATGTTAATCGATGGGCAACGCACACACTTTTGATATTGCTCGCTTGATTTCACCACCTTTGTAACGAACAGACACTACGCGCACAAAACCGTCTCTACCGGGATGTAGTTGCGTAATGCGTCCTAATTGCCATTGTAAGGAAGGTAGGTTGTCATTCTTCAGTACCACCAAAGTACCAATCATGGGTACCTTCATGGATGGGAGTTGCCACTGAGTCCGGTTCTGTAGCGTGGAAAGATATTCTGTGGACCAGCGTCGCCAAAAATGTTGGCGGCAGGCCTCGATAAGCTGCCACCGGGATAACCTATATGCAGGCACAGCAATGTGATCCTTCTCGATGGGAGCTGGTCAAGGGATGCCCGATTAAAAAATGACCTGGTGTTAGCGCGGTGAGATCGTTTGGATCGTTGAATAATGGTGTCAACGGGCGCGAATTAAGAACGGCTTCAATTCTCACCAGTAAGGTGCACGCCTCTTCATACGAAAGATGACTTTCGCCAATTATGCGCTTAATATGATTTTTAACTGACTTAATGCCAGCTTCCCAGAGACCTCCAAAATTTGGGGCACGGGGCGGAATAAATGTCCAAATAATGTTTTCGCGTGCTAACTTGTTTTGAAAATCTTTACTTGACAATAACTGCATAAACTCTTTTTTAGCACCGACAAAGTTTGTAGTGTTGTCGCTTAAAATTTAAGAAATATTTCCGCGACGAGATGTCAATCGTTTTAGAGCGTTGATTTTTGTTTTGTGCATAAACAAATAAAAAGGCAAATCACTGACCTTTGAAAACAAATTTTATCGAAGTTGGAGACTTCACGCACAAAAGAACCCCACATGCGATGAATACTACCTGGAATTGGCTCGTCCCAGTCGATTTTTAGGGACCATAATTTCTGCATAATTAGTTTGGCTTTAGTTATAATTGGATTAATTAATCCCAACGGGTCAAACAATTGAGAAATCGAACTCATTATTGAACGTTTACTCGGTTTACTGACTGAAATTTGGTATAGGAGAAAAGATCTTTTTTATTGCCCCACCTAAATACCTAACGTTTTATTTTCGGTTTGTGTTGAATGTTGTAGCTCAGGATGTGTGTTGATTGTGTTATTGAGTAACAGACTGTATTTTTGGGTTTTGTGTTTATTGATTGAATGTCTAGATGTTACTGACTTGTGTTACTGACCGTTTCAGGACGGTTGGTGATAAGAATGCTACCTGAGGTAGAAGGGGAAACAACCCCGATTCTTAGTACTCAACACTTTGTTTATCATTAATTATGCAGTTAGTGGTTGATAAGTTATGTGTCTCGTTTAGGATTTCTCGACAATTTGCACACCACTTACTAAGTTGAAAACCCCCTTGGGCTAAAACGGTTTTTAATTGATTCGCAATTTCTTTAAGCTCGGCGGAGGAATTGGCTCCAAATAATACGTCGTCGAAATAGAAACAGTTCATTATTGCGTTGTATGCCAAGGGATGAGATTTTTCATTTTCTATGCCTAATTGCTGAAGGCATCTTATTGCTAGGACGACGAGGTTAACCCGTAGGTTACCGTTTTTAAGCGGTATGTTTGAATCGGCATGTCAGGGGATTCCCTCCATATTTTTTTTTATTTTGAAATTTCCAGGTAACGATCTCTTTGTCCAAAAATCTTGAAGTTTCAATTTTTTCACCTGTGCCATCAAAAAAGTCAACCCAATAAAACAATACATGTCATTATTATCAATATTTTTCCATTTCCTTTGATGGTTTGCAACAGCTTCCTGACACACAGACTGCTCATGAAATAAATTGCTCACAATTTCTGTGATCAAATCTGAAGAAAAAAATAATTCAAAACATTGTAAATCTGAAACATCTTCAACAACTATTTTGCATACAGATCGAGTGTCGTCAAAATCATGTAGTTTTGGTTTATAATTCATATTTTCAGTCCAAACAAATCGTGTTTCACCACGTTTAGCTCTTTTATTTTGGGGCAATTAAATTAAGAAAATATACGTTAACAAAATTAGTCTAATTTTCCTTACCTCTTACTGTTGCAGTTTACAAGAACATCATCTGCAGAATCTGCTTCAAACTCTTCAATAACATTTTCATTGCCCCCATATTCGAGTACACTCTCAGAATAACTGCCACTTTCAGGATCAAATTGAAAATCTTCATCATCCTCATCACTTTGGTACACCAGTATTTCGAGTTCTTTATCACTCAGTAGTGATGCGACTTTGGTCCGAAAAACATCGAATCGATAAATCGATAAAGTTTGATTAGACCATTAATCGATTCAATTAATCACAAATCAAAATAATCGATTCGATTAAATCGTTTTGTGGAAAATGTTAAAAAAAGTTCCAACATTGTCATAAACTTTAATTGGAGTAAAAAAATAAAAAATTTGTGAACATTTTAAATGAAAATAAACTTAATACAATAAAATACAAAATCAATAATATTCAGTCGTAAACATAAAAATTAAATTTATCTCTTAAAACAAAAATATAATTGTAAATTATTCAAACCAGTACTTATCTTCAATACTGCTCAGGAATATTAAGTTTGACAAATGTGGTCCTGTTAGTCTAGACCGTTTGTCTGCTAAGATCTCTCCCGCTCTACTAAACAGTCTCTCACATGGTACGGATGTACCAACAACTGACAAATACTTGGTTGCAATTTTATACAATTCAGGAAACGCTATCTTTAACTGCTTAAAATACTGAATTGGATCATCATTTCGAGCAATAATCGATTGGTCTAAGTACTGCTTCAATTCTGTTGGCAAACCATTTCCACTATTTACATCTGAAATTCGAGATTCTTTACTAACAACCAAATTTTCATGAATATTCCATATATCATTACTATTATCAGAAACTGGTTTAAAAAATCCTTCAGAGTCTACCTCCCTTGTTTTTGTTGGAAACATTTTTGATATAATATTTAATGTATTTGATAACGATCGTGCGCTTTCAAAATGTATTTTCTTAAACCGAGGGTCAATAACAGTTGCTACTGCTAATATTTCATTTCTCTCAATAAAAGATTCCTCAGAGTAGAAACGTTTCTGTACTTCATTACCCAAATTTGTGATGAGCTCTTTCCCAAACTCAGTAGAACCATCCAAACGATTTAAGGACAATTTTAAACAATGTGCCAGAGGAATTATTTTGCTTGCTGTTACATATTTTTCACCTGAAATTTCTGTAGTAAGTAATTGAAATGGCTTTAAAATTAAAACAACTTCTTTTAAAATTTCAATTTCATCATGATTAACCATAGTTGGATTTTTGTAATTAAATAGCACTGAACTTATGTAAGTTGCCAACAATAAAAATCTCTGCAACATTAGGTACGTTGAATTCCAACGAGTTTCACACTGCTGGATTAGCTTCAACGTTTTATTATTTGGCGCCCCATTTTGGATTTGTTGAGACTTCAATTCCTCAGTTGCCTTGGTGCTATGTTTAAAAAAGGCAACAATCTCTTTAACCTTATTGATAATATCACTTAGATGAGTTGTAAGTTTTAAGGCGTTTGTAACTACTAAGTTCAGTGTATGAGCGAAGCAGGGAAGATGTTTTTTTTTTTCCAAAACAAAGGTATGCCCCCTTCACAACATTGCTTCCATTGTCCGTTACAATAGCCGTTACTTTTTCCTTGTCAATATTCCACTGCACACATAAATCATTTAATTTTTCACATATATATTCACTGGTGTGACTTTTTTCTAACATAATCACACCAATATTCACAGACTTTAATTCACCCATGTTAAAAAAGTGTACGGTGATTCCCATAAAACTTCGAATGTTGAAAGAATCAGTCCATATATCCGTTGTTATTGTGAAATTTAAAACATTCTTAAAATCTTCTTTAATTTGAGAGCTAATAACTTCATACCGTTCATCCATCATATTCGTGAAAGTTTTTCGGCATGGTAGTTTGTACAGTGGAAGTGTAGTTTGTAAAAACTTCTTAAACCCTTTATTTTCTACAGTTTTCAGTGGCATGTTATCTACAGCCAGCATATACAAAATGGCATTTGTAATCTTACTGGCATTTCTACCACCTTCTAAAATTTAAATAAATTTTGTAATATAAATTGCTCAATTATTGAACAAACCTGTATATGAAGATACTTCTTCAAACACTTCAGTAACTTTTTTCTGTTTTCCTTTGATATGTGAAAATGATGAGCTATCCAAGATGCTTAAAGTTGTTGCTTCTGATAAATTCGATATATTATCACAACTTCTTTCAATTGTCCTGCTACCACTGCACCCAGGTTCGGATTGAATAATAGGGGATGTGGGCTTCTCGAAACATTGTCTTTTTTTACATGGCTCCTCTTGCTCTGATTTTGATTCTACATTCATTATCGATTTCTGATTCAAAGGGATCATAGGATGCTTCCTTTTCATGTGGCTGAGCAAATTAGTAGTATTACTATGATTTTTAACTATTTTGAGACAAAATCTACATCTTGAGGATATTGCATCGATTTTTGTAAAATATCGTTTAATAGATTTGGACGTTGGCATCGACATCCTAATATCTAAAATATTGAAAAAATATAAAATCGTGGTTTACCTAAACTCTACGAACAAAAAATCTGGCAAGATTAATACACGGATTAATAATTTTACTTACAAAAAAGGGGGATTTTACCACTTCCGCCAAATCTTCAATCTAGGCATTTCAGTATTTCACATGCACATACGATAGGTAACCATAGCAACAGCAAAACCAAAGAACCACACACAGAACAACATTCAATGCACAGCACGGTAACCAGTACCACGCAAATGTGGCTAAAGTCACTAGATTTTTCTAAACGGGTATTGATTTTTTTAGCCGATTCTCGTAAAAAATAATCGATTTAAATATTAATCGAAGTTTAAAATATCTACAGAAAATCGATTCTTTAGTATGAGATACAATCGATTATTCAAGAATCGAATCGATTTTTCACATCACTATCACTCAGGGATTTCAGCTTGGCACTCATTTTTGAAGTCGATTGAGGTTATGAACAAGTAAAGTTGATATTGCGCATTCAATAAATATTGACGCAAACGGGCGAAATTTTTTGCGCGTTTTGGCGGATCCCGATGCGAAAGGGTTAAGGTTAAACACATCGATGTCGGTAATACTTTGGTGTAAAGTAGAGACGAAAATACTTTCTACGACGCCATGCCATGCCATGTTTAGTTAATTAATTACCTTCGAATGTGAAGCAAAGATCAGCAAATCCACATTGCACTAAAATTTCACCAACACTAACATCCATTGTAATTTGCAGTAATTAATGTAAGAATGTTACTATATTTTCACATTCAGTATTTTAAAGTGGCGCACGTGTTAACGCCAAACAAGTTTCTATAGGACAAGCCAATCAAATTAGCAAACGAGGTGTTGGATGTAAAGGCTTTGAAAACACCTTTTTTCGCGGCGATTTTACAATTCCAAAAAAAATAATATTTAAACTTGGATCGAAGCTGACAAACGCATCAAAAGGTCACCTACCTTGTTTTGTTCAGCCTCCTGGGTTGAGGGTTTGTAGACCGCATGCACAAAGGAACCACGTGTCTAAGTTTCGCGACAACAATTCGCGATTGACGTCACACAAGATGGTAACTGCGTTCACTTAACGCCCACCTTAGCGATGTTACCTCTCTGAGGGTTTCTCGATAACTCTCTTCGATGACAGCGCCAACCCCAAGTACCGGGCCCTTTTGCTCTAAAGTCACTATCTAGGGACTTTATTTTGCTCGGTACTATGGCGCCTCTAGTGGAAAGTGACCAAAATACACTTGTCAGCAATCCGCGGGAAAACAGACAAACTCAAAACAAAATATTAACAAACTTCGAACTGGAACATTCCGCCCACCAAAAGAAAATTAAATATTTTTTTTTTTAACGTAGGTTCCAGCACAATATACGATTAATTGACAATCTAAAAACTAATGACTAAAACTAAATACAATATGAATGCAAACTATTGACGAGGAAGCGGGCACAGCTTCACTCGAGGACGTGTGATCATGCCGCAAGTGGTACGTACTTGTGCAACTCGCACTATACCGTCTTTTCCCGGGTGCAGCACGACAATTCGGCCAAGTTGCCATTGCAACGGGGCCACCGAATCACCCTTGATTACGACCAGCGCACCTACCGACGGTAGGTTACTCGACGAGTTCCACCTATTACGTCGCTGCAATGTATGGAGATAACCCTGTTGCCACCTATGCCAGAAATCCTGGTGCGACCGTTGCACGAGTTGCCATCTATTTAGCCGATTTAACCGCATTGCCTCCAACGGTTCATCGGGAACGGCCACTAACGGTCCTATGGTTAAAAAATGTCCGGGTGTGAGAACCGACAAATCTTCGGGGTTATCCGCGGAGACGGGGCATAGGGGTCGCGAATTCAATATGGCTTCAATTTGCGCCAATACCGCACTAAATTCTTCGGAGGTTAGAAGTTGCTCCCCTACAATGCGCTTAAGATGGGATTTGAAGGATTTAACGCCCGCCTCCCATAATCCTCCCATATGGGGGGCCGACGGGGGGTTAAAATGCCATTTAATGGCACAGTTACCGGCCGCTGCTTGCAATAACAAATACTGTAATGTCCGGAATCCGACATGTAAATGTTTCCGATGAGCGGCCTCTATGATTAGTTCGGTTCGACTGTGCGAGCGCGGCAATAACAAGGGGTGCTTAGTTTCATAGGGGAGTTCCGTTTGGTGCAATCTTCCGGTGACGCGAATCAAACCGTCGTCTAGGAAGGGGGTCCATTCGTGGAATGGTTTTGAACACGTGCCATTCTTTTGCAATGAACGAATTTCATTGGCAAACACTTTATTTTGTTACATTCGCACAAGTATTAACAACGAACGATGCAATTCCCTTCTGTGTAATTCAAGTTCCGTACCGGTACCAACTTCTAGGTCTACTTGTAGAGGCCACTCAGTACCTGTCAACCACATGGGATCCGCCCACCATAGCGGATGTGTGACACGCTCCTGTAAGAGTAACCCCCTCGAGGCGCAGTCGGCTTGGTTATCAGGGCCGCTTCCATGATTCCATGCCGATGGTTCCAATATACCTTGTATGGGCGCGATTTGATTTGCAACAAAAGTGGTCCAATGACCGGGCCGCGACTTAATTCCCGTTAGCGTTACTCTTAAATCGGGCCACGCACACACCCTGTGTGTGTTCAACACACCCTTGAGGGTTTCCCGGGCGAATGACAATAAATCGTCCGCAAAGAGGCGCGACTCCAGGACGAGAAAACGGCGCACTGCTGACTTGGAGGACCGACCTAATAAGGACGGCGTCTTGTCGGCGAAAGGTCTACCTTGGATGTCACGTGAGATCGCCGACGTGACTTTTTCCTCACACCAAGCGTCTTGCGGGGCCGCCATACTGCGTTGTGAGCCCTGCTCAGGCTGCCAAAAGCGTTTTAATGCCGCGTCTAACGAGTTATCTATGGACCAGTGGCGTGCCGTGACTTTACTGATAAGGCAGCAGCAAAATAAAATTGTAAATGTGTTGTAATAATTTTTTTTAAATATCTAAATTCTGCGAATAACGACATAATAAAAAAATATATAAAACGGATAAAACAATGTTTTATTTAAAGGTTAATTCAATTCGTCTGTTTTGTTTACAAAAGTTTTGTAAAACCTTATCATAAAAACTGACACTGCTTTTCAGAAATTTTAAATAATCTTGTTCAATTGATAAAACTGCCAGTGACGACAGTCGATCTTGACCCATTGTGTTTCTCGCATAAGTTTTTATTCGCTTAAGTGTTAAAAAAGTACGTTCTACGGAAGCAGTACTATATGGTAGATCAATTATTAAACAACATAATTTGTACACTTCAGGCATTGCTTCCGAAAGTTCGTTGTCTTGCAGGTAAGAAAAAATTTCTAGCAATTATTTATCTTTAAAATCAGAGGTACTATATAAAACAGTTAATTCGTTTATAAGTCTAACAAAGTCAAATAAATCGGAATAATGTACTCTCAGGGAAGTAATTAATGATTCAGGAAACTGTTTTTTAAAATCATTAAATTTCTTAGAGTTCAATAACTCAATAAAATCTAAGAATTTTAATTTTTCAAAACGAGTTGTTATTTGGCCAACTATAGTATCTATGATTTCATAAACAATTTTTCTAACCATGAATTTTCTTCTTTGGTTTTTCGGTTCTTTTTTGGTTCACCGACTAATGCCACCACCTTTTCAAATATTTGTGTAAATTCTCCTCTAAAATTAGAGATTTGTAGTTTTGTTTCTTCTATTTTATTAATGCAGTACTTTATTTCGTAGCACTTCTTTTGCAAAACATTGTAGAGATGATCTGTATGGGCAAATATGTGATGAAAAATATGTAGTAGAAATACTGTTTTAAAATCCTTCAGAAAATTTAAGAATCCAGTACTTGAAACTATTGCGTCTTTGTCCCAGTTTTGGGGATTTTCTTGCACTAAAATAAAAAATTCTACAAGATGTTGTCGGTGATTGTACACTGTATTAATCAATCGTGAATTGTAGTTCCATCTGGTTGGCGCCACTCCTGGTAATTTTTTATTAACAATATTTTCTAATGCATTTGTCCGTTTTGTCGAATGCGAAAAAAATTAAGCCATTCCACTAACTGTAGAAAAAAATATTTTACACTGTTTGATGTGGTTAAGGGATTGAGCAAGGACCAAGTTCAATACATGAGCGCAACAGTGTATAAAAAATGCTCTTGGGCATTTTTCTCTAACTTTTGCCTGAACTCCATTAAGTTCTCCCGCCATGACTGCAGCACCGTCATATGTTTGTGCAACAATTTTTTTTTCACACGATAAATTTTCGATAACTGCAATAACATGTGCAGCTATGGAATTTGCAGATCTATCGCCACTGACATCAGTAAATCCCAAAAATCTCTCGTTTAAAACACCAGACTTCGATACATATCGTATTACAGTTGACAACTGTGAATGATTTGAAACATCAGAAGTTTCGTCAATAAGAATTGATACAAACAAACTATCTGATATTTCCTTCTTAATTGAATCTAAAACCACCACAGAAATCGATTCGATCAAGTCGTTCTGAATGTGATTTGAAGTACCAGAAAATACCGAAGCATCTTTTAAATGAGACGCCAACTTTTCGTCGTACTCTGCTAATAAATTTAAAAGTTCTATATAGTTCCCTCTATTGGTGCTAGCTTTTCGTTCATCATGGCCTCTAAATGCCAATTCTTGCATCGCTAAATAACATACAACGTCGATTAATCTTTTCATAACTTCTCTGTTATTTTGAACTTTTTTGTTGTGTTCCAATATATTCAGTTTCCTTTGTTCATCCAGCGCAACATCGATTCTTGTAGACCGGTCAAACATTTTGAAAGCTACATTTGAAAAAATATGCGTTTGACTTTTTTCATGTTTAGCAGCTGCATTGAAAAAGTTGTTTAAATTGTTGTACCCAGTAGTGCGCCATACAGTTTTATCATTGCTAAAAAGTAAGCAAGGCCAGCAAAACATTTTGTTCATGGTAACACACGCACAAAGCCATTTATGATTGTCGTAGTAGGATTTTTGGAAATGTCTCACTGAGGTTTTTTGCTTTACTTTTATTTCACATGTTAATTTGGAAGATAAATCAGGCATCGGACGGTCGACTTTTTTTATTTCTGTTTTTTCTAAGTGGGAAAAACGAGAGAACGGATTTTTTAATAAAACTTCTATAATGCAGCCCTCAGCGTCATCACATGTTAAATTTTTCCATTGACGAATATTGATTTGTACCGCTTGAGCAGGATTTGTCATGTTTGTTTCCATGCTATAGTAAAATTAAAAATATAGTACCTCCATTCTTAAATGGAAAAAGACAAAACTCACCTTGTTTTAGAAAAATATTCAATAACGACTTAA